AATTTGGGATTTGGGATTTGGGATTTCGGCATTTGGGATTTTGACATTTGGATTTTGAATTTGGGTGGCAGGTATAAGATATATTCCAGAAAAATTCTCAATCATATATACATTACACGAAAAAAATAATTGTACAAATTCGATCGTTGGTGCAACTCCCATGTAATCACGGAAAATGATTTATGCATTGTGTCTAGTTAAAAATTTGTATGAATTGATTATAAGTTTTTTCCCATTCTTTCATAAGCTCATCAAGCCATGCAGTACTTAATCCGCTTTTTAGTATACTGCGACGTAATAATTCTTCACCAACTAGTCTTTCCCGATCTGTTAAAAATTTGTGATATTTTCTAGAATCTTCCTTCCTCTCTATTCCACCGCGATAGAACCGTATATCCCTCTCCAAGTCCTCACGAAAACATTCTCCATCCCATTTTTTTTTCTCAGCCTCTGTAATAACCGAAAATTTCTCAGGATCCATTTTATGCTCGATGGCATATTGGCGTAAGCTAGCTTCTGGCTGATAAAGGCAGGTTTTGTTTGATATACTTACTTGAATTTCCGGTAAGCTCTGTATCACGATTATAATTTTCTTTTGATCAATACGAAATGAACAATTGAGATAATAGTGATCATCTTTACCTAGATCGCTCCAATCACCCCATATACAATATCGTGTATGTACTTCTTTACATATTGGACATTTAGCTTCTGAATCAGTATATTTAAAAACATCTCGATGCCATACATTCGAATTAGTGTAAGACAAGAAAGGGAAATGTTTATGTACTGCTTCATGGATTATACCTTTCTCTTCTGGAAACTTGGAAATTTTGATAACACGATCCTGTGAAAGATGATTATCAGTCTTTTCAATTTGAGAGAATTCGGAAGTTTCAGAGTTTAACCAGGGATCGAGTTCAGTTTTTTTCTTATATCTTTTACAAAACTTAGAACAAATTTTATCTGTCAAAATGCTTGGCAATTTTGTTAATTTAGCTTCCCATTCCAAATATTTGGAAGTTAATGTTTTATTAGTCATTGTCTGCGTATTCATGTTCCCGTTTTATATGATCCCACATCACTTTAAATTAATAATAACCAACAAAAATAAATATGCGTCCAGATTAATATAGTAACTTTTTTTTATTATATATATTTATCCTGACAATAAGTGAAATGAATTAGTGTGATATAAGATAGCGGAGCTGAAGCAAAGTTTCTAAAGTTTATATCGTTATCTCGATTTTAATTCCATGCTGTTCATATTTAATAAAATAGGATCCAGTTTTATATCTGCCTTTTATACCATAATCCTCATAATGATCTAACTTGCATAGCGGG